TATAAGTGAACAGTATTTAGTTAAGGCTCTAAAGAGGTCTTTGTGGCATTTATGGATTTGGAAAAGGGCGTAATGACAGGGTGGATAGGGGGCAATGTGCTGTTGTTGCAGGTGTATGGTGTAGGAGGTAGGTTACTTGAAGCAGTGTAGAGTTTTTACGAGGATTAGTGCGGCTCAAGTTAGTGGTTATGTAGGAAAGAGGGAAACTTATTTCCCCAGTAAAAGTAGGACCTTAGACAAAGGATGTGTGTTGTCACCGTGGTTGTTTATATATTTATAGATGGGGTTGTAAGAGAAGTAAATGCGAGGGGTCTTGGCAAGAGGCATTGAGTAAAAAGATAAAAGAATCACACATAAAGTGGGAGTTGTCACAGTTGTTCTTTGCTGATGACACTGTGCTCTTGGGAGATTCTGAAGAGAAGTTGCAGAGGTTTGGAGGATGAATTTGGTTAGGGTGTGCAAAAGAAGAAAATTAAAAGTGAATGCAGGAAAGAGTTAAGGTTATGAGGATAAAAAAATATAGGTGATGAAAGATTGGCTATCAGATTGGAGGGAAGAGAGTTGGAGGTGGTGAATGGTATTCAGATTTTGGGAGTGAGTGTCAGAGGATGGTCTAGAAGGTTGAGGTGAATCATAGAATTGATGAGGGGGGAAAAGGGAATTTAAGTGATCGGTGCACTTAGGAGTCTGTGGAGACATAGAACTTTTTGTCCTTGGCAGGCAAAGAGGGGAATGTTTGAGAGTATAGTTTTACAACGCTCTTGTGTGGGTGTTGGAGCAGGGATGATGAATGTTGCAGAGAGGAGTAGGCTGGAGGCAGTGGAGATGTCATGTTGAGGTGGCAATGTGTGGTGTGATATGATGCAGAGAATTCGTTAGTTTGGAAGTTAGGAGGAGGTGCGTGGATTACTAAATACTGTTCGTCCAGAGGGCTGAGGGAGGGTTGTTGAGGTAGCGCGGACTGTGAGGAGAGAAGGTAGCGAAACAGAATGACACCTTCAAGAGTTGTATCGTCTGTGTGGAAGGAGGAAGGCAGGGTAGAGGGTTCTGCCTAGGAAGGTTTGGAGGGAGGGGGTAATGGAAGTTTCGTCGGCGAGGGCTTGGACTCTTGCAGGCATGCGTGAGCGTGTTTGATAGGAGTGAATGGAGACAAATCGTTTTTAAATACTTGACGTTGCTTTGGAATATGTGCAAAAAGTAACATCTTTTGAAGGGATTCAGGGAAACGCAGGCCGGACTTGGTCTGGAGATGGGAAGTACAGTGCCTGCACTCAGAAGGAGGGCGGTGTTAATGTTGCTGTTTAAATAAAAACTGTGGGTGTAAAGCACCCTTTTGGCAAGACAGTGATGGAGTGAATGATGAGTGAAAGTTTTTCTTTTTCGGGCCACCCTGCCTTGGTGGAATCGGCCAGTGTGTTAATAAAAATATAAATAAAATAAATGTATATAATTTTTTCTTTCAAAGTACCAGCCGTATCTCCTGAGTGGGGTGGCTAAAAGGAAAAATGAAAGTTATCTCATTTTAAATTTAGTAATTTATACAATAGATGGGGCTACTGCCTCTTCCCTCGGCATTTTAGTCGCCCTCCTATTAACACGCATGGGCTTAAGGAGGCAGAATTCTGTTCCACTTCCCCCATTGAGGATAAGAGGAAATAAACAGAATACAAGAACTAGAAAGAAAATAGAAGAAAAACCCTAGGGGTTGTATGTTCATGTTATATGCATGTACTTGTATGTGTAGTGTGACCTAAGTGTAAGTAGAAGTAGGCATGATGTACTGAAATCTACATCCATACATACATACATATATATATATATATCTATATATTTATATATATATATATATATATATATATATATATATATATATTTTTATTTCTTTATATATATATTATATTATATATTATATTATATATTTAATATATATTTATATATATATTTATTTTTTTTTTTTTTTTTTTTTTTTTGTTTTTTTTCAACAAGTCGGTCGTTCCCACCGAGGCAGGTGGGACCCAAAAAAGGACAGAAATCCCAAAAAGAAATACTTTTCTATCATCATTCACACCTTTCACACCACTCACCATTATCACTGCTTTTGCAGAGGGGTTTTTGTTGCTCAGATTTTAAACAGTTTAGAACATATACGTAAGAGATACACAACATATCCTCAAACTGCCATTATCAAACCCCTCTTTTTAAAGTGAAGGCATGTACTTGCCCATTTCCAGGACTCAAGTCCGACTAATATGGAAACTAAAGGTGTCCTGAATCCCTTCACTAAATATTTCCCTGCTCACCACTCAAACAGATCGTCAGGTCCATGTATCATTGTCTCTTTCACTCCGTTCTAACACGCTCTTGCACGCTTGCTGGAAGTCCAAGCCCCTCACCCACAAAACCCCTTTACCCCTCTTTCATCCCTTTCTATGGACGACCCCTACCCCTATTTCCTTCCCCTATAGATTTATTTGCTGTCCATGTCATTCTACTTGATCCATTCACTCTATCTGACCAAAACCACCTCAACCAACCTCTTCTGCCCTCTGGACTAATGCTTTTTATTAAACTCCACAACTTCTCCTAATTTCAACACTCCGAATTTTCTGCATAATATTTACACCACACATTGCCCTTAGTCAGGACATTCTCCACTGCCTCCAACGTCTCTCGCTGCTGCATTTACACCCAAAGCATTCACAGCCATAATAAGAGTGGTGGTACTACTATACTTTCATACATTCCCTTCTTTGCTCCATTGATAACGTTTTTTGGGACTCCCATAAACCTCAACGCACCACTCACTTTTTTTTTTTTGTTCCTATCAATTCTATGTTAACTCATCCTTCCATTAATCCCGTTTCCGCCGAACACGGTCAACTCCAAGATCTGAAAACATTACTTCTTCCATACTCTCCTCCCAATTTGATATCCAATTTTTCTTTAGGCTAAATATTTGATACCATCATCAACTTACTCTTTTCTATGTTCACTTTCAACTTTCGACCTTTACAACATTCTCAAACTCATCACGAACCTTTGCAATTTTTCTTTAGTATCTCCCATAGCACAGTATCATCAGCCAAGAAGTAACCTGTGTCAATTTCCATTTTGAATTTGATTCCCCTAATTTAACCCACCCCGTTCTCCCGAACACCCTAGCTTTTCTTCTTTTACAACCCCATCTATATATATTTTAACAACAATGGTGACATTACACAGCCCTGTCAAGACCTACTGTTACCGGGGGAGTCATTCACCCTCTTTTCAACACACCCTAAACTGAGCCTCGCTTTCCTCATTAAAAGCATCTTTACAGCATTTATTAACTTACCACCTATTCCATTTAACTTGCAAAGCATCTGCCACTTTGCTCCTCTATCCACTCTATATATTGGCCTTTGCTAAATCCATAAATGCAATAAAAACTTCCCTACCTTTATCTAAAATACTGTTCACATTATGCTTCAAGTTAACACTTGATATACACATCCCCTACCCACTCTGAAACCTCCTTGTTCCGTCGCAATTCTACATTTCTGTCTTACCTCTAATTCTTTCAATTATATCCCTACCGTATTCTTTTCTGGTTTACTCAGTAACCTTATTCCTCTATATTTTTTACAATCTTCTTTTGCCCCTTTCCCTTTATATAAAGGGACGATACATGCTCTCCGCAATCCTATGGTCCTTCCCTTCTTTCAAAAATTTATTATACAAAAGTACCACCCACTCAACACTTTTTCCCCCCTGCTTTTAACATTTCTGTCATGATCCACATCAGATTCCAGCTGCTTTACCCCCTTTCATTCTACGTTAATGCCTCACGTACCTCCACCCAACTTACAGTCTGTTTCTTCACTCCATAAAAGATGGTATACTCCTGGCCTGTGCATGAAATTACCCGCCTCATTTCTTCCTTAACATTGAATAGTTCCTCAACTATTTCTCGCCATCTACCAATTACCCTCCCTTCCCATCTACTAACTCCCCTACTCTGTTTTTAACTGACAAATCCATACTTTCCTCTAGGCTTTCTACTTGTTTAACTCACTCAATATTTTTCTTATTTTCATTAAAATTTCTTGACAGATGCCTCTTCCCACTCTTTCATCGCTCTCCTTTTGCACTCTTCACCACTCTCTTAACCTTTCTTTTTCTCTCCATATTCTCTGCTCTTCTTATAAAACTTTGCTTGTAAAAACATCTCATAAGCTACCGTTTTCTCATTTTTTCACACCTTTACTTCTCATTCCACCAATCACTCCTCTTTTCTCCTGCCCCCACCCTCCTATAACCACAAAACGTCTGCCCTCATTCTAATACTGCATTTTTAAAAATATTCCAACCCTCTTCATCCCCCCATTACTCATCTTTGCACTAGGCCCACCTTTCTGCAATAGTCGCTTATAATCTCGCCCTAACTTCCTCCTCCCTTAGTTTATACACTTTCACCTCCTGCTTACTTGTTGTTGCCACCTTCCTCTATGTCCCATTTTATATATATATATATATATTATATATTTTTATAATATATATATATAATTATATATATTATATATATATATATATTTATATATATATATTATTTATATATATTACATATACATAACAATACAAATATATACATTCATACATACCATTCAACACATACAGACATTCATACATACATACATACTGAGCCACTGGCCATGTAGATCCATTCTCTTAGATGTAAGCTTACCAGCTTTCCATGCTAAATTTGAAGCTGCTTAGAATTTTGGCATAATAATGCAGCACAGACACTGGACTTAGACGTAGTACTATGGCAAAGGCAGCGAAGTGGTTAATAATGAACGTAGAGAAGAGCAAGGGTTGGAGGGTCATCTGAACTGTAATGTCAATGTGCTTTTGGCAAAACTGTGATTAAGTGACTTTTTCTTCTTTATTAGGTCACCCTGGTTCAGTGGGTGATGGCTGGGTGTTAAATAATATTAATAACAGCTTTAAATAAATTTCAGAACGAGAGAGAGCTATTGAGGAAAAGCAGAGAATGGATGCAGGTCGCCGCATTGGTGTTGAGGAGACAGGCTGGAGAAGGGGTCCTTCACGAGATGAACAACGAGAAGAACCAAAAGATGAAACACCACCACCACCTCCACCTGCTGTATCAGGACACCCGGCACGTGAACCTGAAAGAGAAGGTGGTGAGCGTTCTGGCGTTTGGAGGGCTGGAGGAGGTAAATTTTTTTTTGGTTTTGATTCTGGAAAAACAATACATATGTACTTTTTTTTTCCCCTGTTAAAGAAAGTCAAGGGTCCAAAATCACTGGTGCTATATTTTGTAAAAAGTGTGTACAATCCCCCTCAACATTCACGTTTTCAACTTTCGCGGGCTTCATACATTCGTGAATTCCCAGCCGCCAAATGATATTTAAGTTTCCCGCCACCCTCATGTCCCTACTACCCTCCCTCCAACCCCTGCAACTAGCAGCCAGCCCGCCCGCCACTCAGTGTGATGGGTGTTTTGTTTTTCATCTTTTGTAGTAACTACTGTTATAAATAATGTCAACCCATTCATGACTGCATATTGTAATGGCCATTTGGACGGGTATTGGACGATGACATTATTTGTTTACTCTTGAACACAGCTAAAGATTCAATCTTTTCGGCTACGCTAATATAACTAACTAATAATACATGGTGGTATAATAACAATAATAATACAATGGATCCTCAAAAAATCGAATGCTCCCAAACACACCAATTTGTAAGTGTTTGTAAATGCTTTATAAGTGTAATTTATGAGGGTCTGAAAATGGACTACTCTTATTTAATATTCCTGTGGGAATAAATTCATTCTGGTAATATTCCTGATGGAATAAATTCATTCGGTTAAAGGGCACTCAACAGCCTTCCGGACTGAAGAAACGTTCGAATTATTTGAGGTTCCACTGTAATTCGTTATTAATTGAAGGGAAGTATGTATACAAAAAATACGAGTGTTGAAGCAGTGGTTCGAGGCATCGTGAGTCAATTTGGCATTATTTATGCTGGATTGAGCATTAGCCCTCCTTGCTCTTCCAAACATTTCACAATATCATTGTTTTTGGTGGCTTGTAGATTGATGTGCGCATTGTAGTGGCAGTAGGTTGAGGCAGTGTGCTTACCTTTGACTGTTTCGGTTGTTACTATACACAGTGGACTCCACCTTACGATGCATAATTACATTAAATCACCATACGGATTACATTTTTACTCAGAAATTTTGCCTCACCTCGCGCTATTGGTCCGAGACGCGTCCTCGTGTGGCCTGAGCGCGCCTCAGCGGCCGTTGGGTGCAGTTGTTTTTACATGCCAGCCAGTGCAAGTCGCATCACGCAGACAATCGAACATTTCATATTATCACCAGCGTTTTTTAGTGATGGTACCTGTAAATAAGTCAACCATGGCCCAAGAAAAGCTTCTAGTGCCAACCCTGTGGTAAAAAAGGTGAAAATTACTATGGAGATGAAAGAGATAATTGCTAAGTCCGAAAGTGGGATGTGCATGTCTCGGAGCTGGCCAGGTTGTATACAAACTCCAATCATCCATCGGTACTAACGTGGCCAGCAAAACGGCAATCAAGGAAGCTGTTCTTGCAAAAGGTGGCAAATTTTGTTTTCGAATAAGAGATCGCAAGTACTCGAAGTGTGAGGGGACTGTGATTGGTGTGGATACATAAAACAGATAGCAGGAGATTGCATCTCTCAAGCAATCATATGTGAAAAGACTGGAAGTTGCATGGGGGGGATTTATATTAGAAAAATGCCTGCAACTAGTAGTGATGTGAGTGAATTTAGGCCAGCAAAGGTTGGTTTGAGAGATTTGAGAATCGTCAGTGGCATACATGGTGTATAAGGCATGGTGAGACTGCCAGTTCAGACCACAAGCGGCTGAAAAAATATGTGAAGGGAATTCAAGGAGTACATAGACAGTGAGATTGAAGCCTGAAGATGTGTTTAATTGTGATGAAACAGGCCTGTTTTGAAGAAAATGCATACAGGACCTTCTTTACTCAGGAGGAAAGGCACTCCCAGGACATATAGCCTATGAGGGACAGGAATTACTCTCTTGATGTATGCTAATGCTGATTGCAAAGTGTAGCCTTATTGGTGTATCACTCTGAAACTCCGCAGAATCGTTCAGGAGAAACAATGTCCTCAAGGTAATTTGTGTGTGCTGTGGAGAGGCAAACACTAAGGCATGGGTCAATAGGGACATTTTCTATGACTGGTTACACCAGGCATTTGCCCCCACTGTGAAAAATTACCTAATGGAAAGGAAATTGGATTTAAGTGCATCCTGGTATTAAGCATGCTCCTGGTCATCCGCCTGGACTTGGCAGGAGCGACTTTCTGGGAGGACATGAAGCATTCATTAAGGTCGTTTTTGCCTCCTCATAAAAACACTCCTCTCCTGCAGCCCATGGCCAGCAGGTCGTTTCAAACTTCAAAAAAACTCTACAACAAAAAGCTAGGTTTCAAATGTGCTTGTAGTGACCTCACACACACTATTTGACTCAAGAGAGTTTTGGAAAAGATCACTTTAGTATCCTGAATTGTGTAATCGTATAGGTAAGGCTTTGGAGGGGAGGGACAAAGGACCTTGAAACTCTGCATGGGAAGAAACTGTGGCCAGAATGTGTAGACAAAAGGATTTTGAAGGATTTGAGCTAACTCTGAGAAGCGTATGCCAATTGTGGCATTGGGGCAAAAGTCCTTGGGGTTGGAGGTTAGTGGGGGGAATGATGTTGGAAGAGTTGATGGAGGGGACAATGAAGAAACTAAACCACTGATGAGCTGCAAGATCATCTTCAACAGCAAGAGGCCCACGGCTGGGAAATGTCGAGGAGGGGAGGGAGAAATTGAAGAAGTTGTTCTCTACTTCAAAGATTCAGGAAATGTGTGCAAAAGTGGCTTGAAGGTGCAAACTTATGATGAAAATTCACCCTAGACAGCTATTGCAAGCTGTGCTGGCGACTGTTTGCATTGACAATGTTGATGAACCACTTCTGACAAATCATAAAGGAACGGGAGGTACCAGGCCTCGATGGACAGATATGTTGTGCGGACAGAGGTCTTCCAGTGACTCTCAAGCTGGTCCTAGTGGCATTAAAAGAAGAAATGTGAGAAACCCGGAAAAGTATGTGCTTCCTAAAGTCCTAATGGAAGGGGATTCCCCTTCTAAACATTAACAACTTCCCACACTCTACCCTCCTCCATCCCATCAATCATCACCCATGATCTTTCAATTAACAGGTAAGTGTCAGTTTGGGTGTATTAAAATTAAATAATGTCATGTGGCAAAAAATTTTTTTTTTCATACTTTGGGGTGTCAGGAACAGATAAATTTGATTTCCATTATTTCTTATGGGGAAAATTAATTCACCTTAGGATAAGTTCAGCATACGATGAGCTCTAAGGAATGGATGAATATCGTAAGGTAGGGGCCCACTGTACAACTTACAAGCCACCGTGTTCGACGTATATACACCTACCATCTGACTTACTACCTGCTCGACTTATGACCACTCGACTTACGACCATGTTTTTTATGCCAAATTTCTGGGAAATAAACAACTATTTGTGTTGTACACAGTGTTTATCCTAAACCTTACAGTATAAAATACAGTACTAACAACATAAAAAGTAAAACATGAAATACCAAAATAAAACAATAAAATAAAGTCATTACAAAAATGTTTTGTTGATATTCAGTAGTAAAGTTCGACTTACGACCGGTTTCTCGGAACTGAATTCGGTCTTAAGTCAGATGGTAGGTGTACACTCAAAAATTCTAGTGGCTTCAAATCAAGCAGGAAAAAGCTGGTAGGCCCATATGTGAGAGAATAGGTCTGTCTGGTCATTGTGCACCATATAAAAAAAATCCTGCAGCAGGCAGTGCATAATGAGAAAAAAAAACTCCCCTGACGTTTTTTTGGATTTTAAAACGCCAAACTCGGTGGTGTATTTTTTGTATAGTATTTATGGTTTATTCTTTGTTTTTCTTTCAATTTTCAAAGTTTATTCTCTATAAGGTTTACAATGTGAGTTTACAGTATTGGGGTTTAGTGTGTGGTTTACATTGTAGTAAAATACTAATTTACTGAGGCCTCTAGAACACCTAGCTTGGCTAGGCATTTTGGGCTGGACTTAGATTAATTCTTAACTTTTAAAATATTACAAAATTATGAGGTAAGTTGGTATTATGCGTATGGACTAAATGCTAGTTTGTGAGTATGCAATGTGGAATGCTTTTGTTTGGCACAAAACATAGTTTCAGTATTGGAGTATCACAGGCCAAACTTACTCGACTAGTTAGGAATCATTATTTTATGATTGAGATTGATATTTCTATTTATGTAAATGGGTGAGTGAAAGTGTAAGTTGTGAACCACCAGGTGTTTTGTTGTATTTGTTGATCGGGGTGTATCAGGGGGATAAGATGTTTTCTAATGGTAGTTTTGAAGGTGATGAATGTTGTCTGCAGTTCTAGAGTTTTTCAGGTAGGGTGTTCCAGATTTTAGGGCTTTGACTTACATTGATGTTTTGTAAAGTTTAGTCGGACTCGGGGATTGTCTAGAGATGTTTGTGTTGGTGTTATGCCGTGGGGTTCTGTCACAACTATCAAGAAAGCATTTTTAGGTCAAGGTATATTGGAATTTAAGGTCCTGTTAGATGTAGATTGCCTCAGTAGTAAGTGTGATGTACTAACAGGGAGTAAGTTTAGGATCTAATGAGGTTGGGGGGGGGGGGGTGTTGCAGGGATGGGTTTAGTGATTATTCTTTCTGCAGCTTTTTGTTTGGTTATTATTGGTTTAGTGTTGTATTGCTGCAGTTGATCCTCAAGCACAATAGCATAGGTGAGGTATGGATAAATAAGTGAGTGGTATAGTGTGAGAAGGGCATTTTGCGGGGCTCGTAGTATCGTATATTGGAGAGGATCCCAACCGTTTTGGATACTTTCTTTGTTATGTGTTGGATATGGGTGCTGAAATTCAGGTTGTGTTGAGGTATAGGCCTAGGATTTGCCCTCAATTTGTCTGAAATTAGAGTGTGGTTGATCTTAATGTTAAATTTGCGCAATCCTGCTCTGCTACCAAACTAATGTAGTAGGTTTTGTCAGTGTTAAGCGTAAGTTATTGGCTGTCATCCAAGTCGGATATTTTGATCAGCTCCTCGTTAATAATGCTGTTGGG